ATAGAATGAATGTAAAACTAATGTTCTCTCATGTAAACTATCACATAATTCACAATAAAACATTAAAAAAAAAAGATTTCTAAGGCTGTAAGTGGTTTGTTTTGCTTTGTTTTAGGGTTTTTAAAAAACTTTATATTGTGAATTGAGTGAAGATATACAGAGCAGATCATCAGTTTTACATTCAACAAATCATATACTTTGTTTCATCTCAATGATTGCAATCCCCCCGCAAAACTTTAGGAAGCAAATGGCCTCACCTTTCTCCTAAGGACTAGCAGGTGGGTTAGAACCACTGACCTATTGGTTAGCGGTTCAATGATTAACTCACTGCACTGCTATAACAAGTTTGTTATTGTTGTTGTTAAGTGCCATCAAGTCGGTTCTGACTCATAGCAAACCCTGTATAGGGTTTCCCAGGAGTAGCTGGTGGGGTTGAACCACCGACCTTGTGGTTCACAGTCCAGTGCTGATCCTGCAATGCCACATAATAGGTTTAGAAGCCTACAATCTGTAATCTCTGATGGGTCAGCACAGGTTGATGGGGTCCCTCCACTGTCAGCCACTCAGCTTCTTGGGTCTACTGAAACTGTCCAGGCTCAGCTCATTCATGGGAAGTCAGGATCCTGTGAAGGGTCTGAGAGCTTACCCCACAGGCCTGTTAACAGATTAACCACAGAGAGATGCTATATTGATTTCCTAAGGCTGTCTTAATACATTATATACAATGGGACATTAAGCCATCTCCCATAGAGTTGGTTCTGATGCATAGGACCCCATATCCATAAACAGAAATGAAGTTCTTTTCCATAGCAAGTGAAAGGACAAATATTATATGATCTCATTTGTAGGAAATACCCAGAATAGACAAATAAACGGAGACAAAATTTTACTAGTGGTGACCATAGGCAGCAGGGAAGGAGAAGGCATTTTTAAGAATCAGTGTTTGTTTATGGAGATGGAGATTTGGTTATAGGTTCTGGTGGTGGTCACACAGCATGATAAATGACATCAATGTCACTGAGTTGGACACGTGAGAAGTATTGACTTGGTGAAGGCTGTGTTATAAACATCTTTGCCACAATAAGATGAAAAGAAATTTTAAACACCAGAAAGTGACTGTCGGCATCCTGGAGGTCAGGCGTCTGAAATCCAGGTGTGGGCAGGGCCACACTCCCACTGGAAGCTCTAGGAGTGCATTTGTCCCTGCCTCTTCTACCTTCTAGTGGTTTGTGGCTCCATCACTCTCATCACTGCCTCATTCTTCACTAGACTTTATCCTTCTCTACTTCCCTCCTTTCTGTCTATGTCTTCTCCTCTTCTTAGAAGGACACTTGTCATTGGACTGTGGATGATCTCATCTCGAGATCCTGAACTGAATTTCACATGAAAAGACTTTCACCAACTCTTGGTTTCCTTGTTTTCCCAAGCAGAGCCACACTCACGAGTTCCAGGTGGACATCTCTTGTCAAGGGCGGGCCACCATTCCACCTACTATACATGCTTAACCTCCAAGAGGCTTCCAGGAACTTTGCACACAGTGCTGATGAGGTTTGGGGAGATGAGTCTATCATCTACTTCATATAGTACTGCTCAGAGCAGGTCTCAGTGTTCTACCTAAATGCCAGGGTTTGACTCTGTAATCCAACCACCATGCTGATCTCACCACCTACCTGGTCCAGCCAGAAGGTGTACCTACCTCCAGGATGAGTTTGTGGCTTTTTCTGACCTCTGAAAAGTCCCTGAGCTTCCCCCATTACTCATTGATCATATAACCCACACTCAACCTATCACGTTCTGTGCTGACATGCCCTCTTTCCTTTCTCCTTTTGGCAAATGCCTACTCAATCTTCAGTACCCCAGCTCTGATATCCCCTTTACTATCTACTACTTTCCCTGACTTTATGGCATGATCCAGTTTCTGGCATATCCCTGGCTCCATTAAATAGTAGCTGAACTGAAATGATGAAGAAACCCAAGCTTGGAGAAAGGATTCAAGGCAACTGAAGAAAAGATGACAAACAGCTAACATGTACCAAAGTTGTGACTGATTAGTTGGGAGTCTGTTTCAGTTTTATCTACACAGTTCCTATTTAGGACTCCCAGTGTGACGCTGTAGGATCAGACTGGATTGTGAACCACAAGGTCAGTAGTTCAAGCCCACCAACTGCTCCTTGGAAACCCTATACATGGTCGCTATGAATTGAAACCAACTCAATGGCATTTAACAACAGTTCCTACATGTGAAATCTTCTATAATATAAAGAGCATCTTATTTGTGCATTTTTAGCAAATTATAATGTCTTCATAGAATAAAATACCATGCAACCTTTAAAACTCATAATATCAAAGAAAATCTAAAGATACAGGCAAAATTCTCAAGATATATTTGCTGTGAAAGAGAAGCTTAGAAAAAAAATTATAGTAAGAACATATTTTCTTTTATAATGTATATATTCCTCCTCCTTCCATTACCTACCATCTGAAGTGAAGAAAAACATGAACTTGTAAGCCTTGTATCTCTTGGCGTTGTGCCTTAGAATAAGCAGTTCAAACTCATCAGCCACTCCTCAGAAAACCCATACAGAAACCCCGCTATGAGTCCGAGCCAACTCAATGGCACTTAACAGCCAACAATCCTTTCAGTACTGTGACTATAGGGAAGTTGAGTTTTCGTCTCTATACCAATTTTTTTTTTTTTTACAGCTTCATGGTTGGTTTTGGCCAAACTTTTTATTTAGTATTCTGTAGTTGTTTAACACACACTTTGTTGTTGTTGTTGTTGTTAAGTGCCGTCGAGTCGGTTCCAACCCATAGTGACCCTGTACAGGGTTTCCGAGGCTGTAAATCTTTACGGGAGCAGAAAGCTTCATCTTTCTCCCACAGAGCGGCTGGTAGTTTCGAACTGTTGACCTTAAGGTTCACAGCCCGATTTGTAACCAGTACGCTACCAGAGCTCCTTATATGTTCTTAATGGGGGGAGGGTGAAAGGGGAGCCTCTTGCAGAATCCCAAGGAAATGTCAGAAAGGCACTATATGGGCAGCATTATCCTTTTATTTTGGGTTTATTGGGTGAATAGCACTTTCCTTACTTAAGCATCTATCTCAGGTTTTGCACACTGAGAACATTGAGATTTCAGTTTGAAGACACTCTGAAATCTCTGAGTAGCAAACCCAACACCACCCTTCTAATATCTAGTTTATATAGGCAGAATGATTCATCTCTCCATTTTAGATGGCTAGATGTTTGTGGAAGATCTTAGTACTGGGAGAAAATGAATAGGAAGTGGCCTTCAGGGACACTTAAGAGAATTACAACACTAGTACACTAGTCAAGTCTTACACATTTAACATTTGCTTATTAAAAACAATGTCATAAAATCAAATAAAATTAAACAGGTTTTACTTTACTTTTTCCTCACAAGAAACATAAAAATTATGGAGGAGTACTTAACAGAAAATTTTTTTTTAAGTAACACAAATTTTCCTTTTAAGAGTCCTTGGGCAGTTATGACAGAATAGGTTCCACTTTTTGTTTGTTTCTTTGAACAGGGATTTTGGTCCAAAGTTTTGTTTGGTTTTAGTATCTGCTTCTGCCTCCACCTCTATCAGATCGGCTTCCTCCATGGCCACCACCTCTTGATGCTCCGCGGCTTGAACTGCTGTAGGAATCACGTGGAGGAGGGTACCCCCTTTCCATAGAGGAGGGAAGCCCTCTTTCTTGTCTGCCATCCCGATCACGACCACTTAAGTAGAGATCACTTCGGCTGCTTGTGTAACTGTCACGACTCCCACCATATCCGTCTCGTGAGCTGCTGTAATCATCATAGCGACTGCTTCTACCATAAGATGGTGGGCCCTCATGTAGGTGGAGCACTACGTGAGTTACCATAGCTCTCAGAGGAATCTCTGTAGGAGCCTCCCTTTGGATAGTCTGAATTGTCACAATCACGACCATAGCCATCTCTATCAGTATAGCCTCCGGATGGATAGTCATCACGTGAACTGAAATGACCATAATCTTGGTGGTGGTGCATAATCTCTTGTATCACGAGAATTTGGGTAATCTCTGCTTGAATAGCTGTCTTTAGTAGAATAGCCATCATTTCTTGGGGACAGGTACACATCTCCACGAGAGGGCAGGGGTTCCCTTCTTGGTGATCCTCCATAACTATCTCTTCCACGTGATACAGGGGCTCTACCTCCCATTCCACTGCTACTGCGAACTGGTCCTGAAGGAGCTGATCTTTTAGGAGGAGGTCCACCACTTCGTGGTGGTGGTCCTCTTTTTACTGGAAGTGGTCCTCTGGAAGAACTCATGTTAAAATTCATGGAATAGCCACCATCATCCATGTTTCCCCCACGTGAAAGGGGTCCCCTGGTTCCTCCACTGCCTCCTCTTCCACCTCTAAGGCCTTTTGGTGGGCCTCTGCTTCTTGGAGGTGGTGGGGGTCCACGCCTGCCACTTTCAAATGGTGGTTTAGTGGCTTGTTCCACCTTGATAGCTTTCCCATTCAATGACTTTCCATTCGTATCTTTGGCTGCATCTTTGGCATTTGCTGGGCTTTCAAAGGTGACAAAAGCAAATCCTCGCGATTTGTTGGTTTCACGGTCTTCCATCAAGAGTACTTCGACAATCCGTCCATATTTGCCAAATACTGCTTCCAGGGCTTTCTTATTAGTTTCTGTATTGAGCCCTCCAAAGAAGAGCTTTCCAGGGCAGTCGGCTTCAACCATTTTTCCCCAGTGGTGAATGTTCGCGAAGTGACGACCTTTTCCAGATGCTACTTGGCTCACCAGGAGGTGATTCGTCGCGGCTCAGCACGAGGGCTGACTGCCGAGTCAGAGAAAAGAAGAAGGAAGCCGCTAGCACTACTGCGTAACAAGCTCTATACCAATTTTTATAATGACTATACAGTCATCTTTATTAGAAAATATTATTAAATGAATAATTTGTGTAGAAAACTTCAAAATGACATTGACTCAGTTTGGGCTCATAGGGACCCAAGGAGACAGAGTAGAACTGCCCTGTGGGGCTGTAATCTTTCTGGGAGTAGATCATGGTCTTTTCTCCTGAGGAGCACTGATAAATTAGAACCTTATTACGAGTCGGGCTGCTAATCTCACAGTCAGCAGTTCGAAACTACCAGCTGTTCCACGGGAGAAAGATGAGGGTTTCTGCTCCCGTAAAGATTTACAGCCTCGGAAACCCTGTACAGGGTCGCTATGAGTCGGAACCGACTTCACGAAACATAACAACAACAACAACTTAACTATTAAGCCACCAGGGCTCCTTGAACAGAAAATAGCAGCCTTCCGCTCCATTCAAGTGCATTATCCTATTTCACCACGAGATGGCAGCACATTTTTCAGAAACAATACTTTCATATTACTTATGCATGTGTGCTGCCCTCGTGTGGACATATAGGAGAATGTTTCATGATTGAAGATTAATTTCTAAAGTTCTGATGTGAATTTTACATATTGTGATTTTTAGGTATTGATAAAGGTACAATAGTTAAGCGTTTATGTGGTAACCTAATGGTGGAGGTTCAAACCCATCCACCATACTCCTTGAGTATCTTTTTCCATAAAGATTACAGCCTAGGAAACATGAGCAGGTCTACTCTGTCACATGGGGTTACTATGAGTTGAAATTGTCTCTTGGCACCCAAAAACAAAAACAGAAACAATTTAAAGACTTAATTGAATTGGAAAATGTACACTTGCATGCTTGTCTGGACCAAATATATTGTCTTTCCACAGAACTTTACTACACTACATAAAGTTTGTGATTTATCTAACTATATGCAGGGCAATAATAAAGAAGGAACATTTCATTTTCCTATTGCAGAAAAGTAACTGCACTAAAATTGACTACAGCTGAAGCAAATAATAATTATACAATGAAGGTAGAAGAACAATTAGACCAATTCTTGTTAAATTGCGTGTGTAAAGGACTCACATGGGAAGCCTGTGTAACAGCAGCATTGGACTCTGCAGCTGAGGATAAATCCAAATATTCCCCATGTTGAATGCTGACTGTACTGCTCCATGGGGCCCAGAGAATAGGTGCCTCCTACTAAATTTGGGGAATCCTGGTGTGGCGCTGTGGGTTAATGCGCCGGACTGCAAAGCCGTTTTAACTATAAGGTGGGCCATTCAAGCTCACTAACTGCTCCTCGAAAATCGACTCGACGGCACTTAACAACAACTAAATTTGGGCACAAACCGATCCCTGTGAAATTCAACCAAACAGATCTCAGTATGTCCCATGAACATAGAGGCCACCAACAGGGTGCTTTGAACCCCCGTCAATGTTTGCTACTTAAATTAGCATAAATTGAAGGCGGTCTTTATTAGAAACCTGCAATATTTGGTTAACTTGTTGTCCTTGAGTCCATTCAGTCTCCTAGGGCCCTATTTGTTACAGAGTAGAACTGTGCTCAGTACAGTTTTGTAGACTGTAATCTTTACAGAAAGGAGCTCTGGTAGCGTAGTGGTTATGAATCAGGCTGTGAACCTTAAGGTCAGCAGTTCGAAACTACCAGTCACTCCACGGGAGAAAGATGAGACTGTCTGCTCCTGTAAAGATTTACAGCCTTGGAAAACCTGTATAGGCTCGCTATGGGTTGGAACCGCACTTGATGGCACTTAACAACAACAATCTTTACAGCAGCCAGGCTTTTCTTTTATAAGACCAGATATAGGTTCCAACAACCAACCTTTTGGATAGTAGTGGTGGTGGTGGTTATATGCTGTGGAGTCAATTCCAACTCATAACGACCCTGTATAGGGTTTCCACGGGTGTAAATCTTTATGGGAGAAAAAAGCCTCATCTTTCTCCTGTGGAACTGCTGGTAGTTTTGAACTGCTATCTGTGAGATTAGCAGCGTGACTCATAACCACTATGTTACCAGAGCTCTTTTTCAGAGAGTAGGCAACCAATCATGCTCCAATGGGAGTACACACATACACAAGCATGTAAATGAGAAATACAGTGATAATAACAGAAAATGTGATTCAAGTTATGCTAGAACAGAAACACAAGTCCTTTGAAGGAAGGGAATGTGAATCCTCTCAGACCTTATCAGCTCTAAGCATGTGCTGGAGAACAAAGTAGAGTTTCTGAGTTGGGGGGTGGATTTAACCAGTAAATATTATTGATATTTGAACATATTATTGACATAGGGTTGTACTGATATGTGAATTGTGTGTGTGTGTGTTGGTATAAAACACACTTACTAGGACATTATAAAGTCTGTGAATGGGGTGGTTACCATCCTCAGAAGTGGGATGTGTGTCTGTGTGCATGCGTGTATATATGACTACCCAAAAAATTTTTATAATTTGATAGTCACTTTATTTAACTTAAAAGTTCAAATTGAATATTGATACATGATGAATAGCACCAGAATATTGTCAGATATAGTGCCAGGAGATGAGACTCTCAGGTTGGAAGGCACTCAAAATACAATTGGGGAACAGCTGCCTCCTCAAAGTATAGTTGACCATGATGATATGAATGGAGTAAGCTTTCAGGACATGCACTTGCTGATGGAGCAAACCGCTGTAAATATGCATTAATAATTGGAACATAGAATGTACAAAGTATGAATGTAGAAAAATTGGAAGTTGTCAAAAATGAAACATAACACATAAAGATCAATATCTTAGGTTAATGCTGAAAAGGAATGGTATTGGCCATTTTGAATTTGATGACTACATGGTTTATTATGTGGGGGATGACAAATTGAAGAGGAATGGCGTTGTACTCATCATCGAAAAGAACATTTCAAGATCTGTCTTGAAGTACATCACTGTCTGTGATAGGTTAATATCTATACACCTACAGAAAAGAGCAGTTAATAAAACTATTATTCAAATTTAAACACCAGCCACTAAAGCCAGTAATGATGACATTGAAGAATTTGACCAACTTCTTCAGTCTGAAATTGATCAAACATGCAATCAAGATGTATTGATAGTACTGGTGATAGGAATGCAAACGTAGGAAACAAAGATGATGGATCAGTAGTTGGTAAATATGGCCTGGCTGTAGAAACACACTGGAGATCGCATGATAGAATTTTGCAAGACCCGTGACTTACTTATTGCAAATGCTTTTTTTAAATTTTTTTGCAAGTACTTTTTTACACAACATAAAAGCCGACTATACACATGGACCTCACCAGATGGAATACACAAAAATCAAATCTGTGGAATGAGAGGGTGGGAAAGCTCCATATCATTAGCCCAAACAAGGCCAGATATAGACTGTGGAACAAACCATGAATTGTTCATATGCAAGTTCGGAATGAAGCTGAAAAAAATTAAAAACAAGTCCACGAGAGCCAAACTACGACCTTGAATGCATCCACTGAATTTAAAGATCATCTCAAGAACAAATTTGATTAATTAGACAATAATGATGGAAGACAAGAGTTGTGGTATGGCATCAATAACATCATACAGGAAGAAAGCAAAAGGTCATTAAGAAGATAAGAAAGAAGGAAAAGACCAAAATGACTGTCAGAAGAGACTTTAAAATTTGCTCTCATACTTTGAACATATTATCAGGAGGAAACAGTCCCTGAAAAAGGGCATCATGCTTGGTAAAGTGGAGGGTCAGCAAAAAAGAGGAAGAGCCCAAACAAGATGGATTGGTACAGTGCCAGCAGCAATGGGCTCCAGTGTAGCAACAATTGTGAGATTGGTGCAGGAGCGGGCAGTGTTTCGTTCTGTTGTGTATGGGGTTGCTATGAGTCAGTACCAACTCCATGGCACCTAACAACAGCAACAACTCCTTCATCTTTTTTCATTTTATTTTATTTTTATTGTGAATTGAGTGATAGTTTACATGGGAGAACATCAGTTTTATACTCATCCTATTGTATTTTGTTTCATTGTTATGATTACAATCCCCTCCATACATCATCATTCAATAGTATTTCAATAGTATTTGCTTCTATTCCCTCTGTGTATTTTTTTTTTTTCTGGATGCACATCAAAACACTCAGTAATATACAATCATTCAAACAACCAAAGGGCTTACTCTGCAAGTCTGCCTCCCAGCCATCAGCACACAGCCCCTCTCCCTCCATGAGTCTAGAGTCCTCAGCTGCTCCATCTCTCCATGTCATCATTTCTGCCTCCATCTCTGGTGTCGCCACTTCTCTGGGTAAGGTCCCACACTCCTCTCCCGCTCTTCTCACTTGATGGTCTCAGGGTCCTCCGTTCCTGGACTGCAAAATCAACCACTCCCCCCTTTTTGCTGCAAAACCTCTAACTTTACAGTTGGGACAATTGCAATCAGTCATGATAATAATTACTTACTATTAAACCATAAGAGTCGTATCCCCATCTCCTTTCACCAGCCCCGTCTCAACTGGATGAAAATCACTCATTGGATATTCTACCTTTCCCCGCACTCTCTGAAACTAAACTCCCTCTTGAAAACTTGTAAGCTAGTCACTTTGTGCCTTTATAGTCCCATTCCTGCCGCCGCCGCCCCCCCCCCCACGTTTTAGGTAGCCAATGTCTAAGTTGCTCATCCCTATCAACCCTGTGTACAGAGGGGATGGGAATGATCCTTGCTGTGAAGATTCCTTGCCTCTTGGTTGGTGTTTTAAACTATACCATAAGTATAGGTCAAGTTCATCAAATTGTAGCAATTTACACTTGTTTTCTTTATACATTTTTTTTTTTTATCTTCCTCTAGTAGAGTTCTGATCATC